ATTCATTGTTTACATTTGAATGAAATAAACAGGCTTGAAGTATTTCTTATTTTATTTTATTTTTTTTTACATTTTTTAAGTTTTAGAAAAAATATATATTCACTTTGTGATTTCGTTACAGGTAGTTAACTGATTATTTTGGACTATACTCCCATCACTGATTATATTTATCTTTATCTAAAATGTAATTAAATTACTCAATAAGAAATGTATTCACTCATAATATATGTAAATCTCAGTGCAAAGAAAATATAAATAATACACTTTTCATTCTTTAGAAAAATGATTTAAACCTGGCATTTTAGCTTTCTTAACTTAAACAAATACTTATTAACATGTTATTTAGATAAACAGAACTCTGGAAAAAAGTTAAACATGTATACAAAAAGTTTCCAAGTGATGATACCATTTATTATACACGGATATACATCAAATTATATATTATATTCCGCCTAATTTCCTCCCGGTCGCACTCGGAGCTCCTCTCCTCCTTTCGTTCCCGGGCAGCTGAGCTCTTTGTAGCCGGAGGGAGCGTAGCTGCGGGCGGGGGAGGTGCGCGGTGCGGTCGCTGACAGTGTAGGACAGACAGACAGTTCAAAGAACACACAAACCAGGAAAACGTTTGATTCTGTTGCGTGTCGCTCTCGCGGGCCGTTTCGCGCTATTATGCCACAGTATTTCTCGGATCTGCTACTGTACCGCCTAAGTTACATACTGTAACTTACTTCCGTGTTATCCATTCCCTCGGGGATACAACGCGATCTGCGCAGAAACAGTACGATTCAAACCTAGAATAAAGTACCGTGCTTAAGGACACCAAATATAAGGCTTTTTTGACGCAGTTTGGTCATTTTCATTTAAATACTAATTAAAGTGCAATTTTATTTATGCTTGCTGCCGCCATCTTTATTTTTACGCACTTCGCCTCTGATTCGTCAGATCAATAGGGGGCGTGACATCCTCCTTGTATCTTTCTGATTGGCCAGATCCCAAAAGTGTGTATCATTGCGTCATTGCAGTTCTCCTAGAGGGCGCTGTGTTATACACACTTTTGGGGTGGGGGGATACACACTTAGATACACAAATCATGTAAAAGTGCATTTTGAGGACAAGTGAGATTTTAAGCCAGGACACCATTTTGAAGCATGCTGAATACTGCTATATGGTCAGACAAATGAGGACCAAGAAAAAGTCCTCATTTGTCAAGGTGGTCCTCATTTTACTGGTGTGTACTCTGGCGAAAGTCCTCATTTTGGACATAAGCAAGTACACGCACACACACACACACACACACACACACACACATATATATACTCTGGATTTAAATCAATACAAAGTTTACATACAGTTATGTGGCAACAGTGTAAATTTAGTTAGCTTCTAATAAAAAAAAATGTAAAAAAAATTAAATATATATATATATATATATATATATATATATATATATATATAGGGTCAAACATGTTCACAAACATTATAACAAGACTCAGCAGTTATGAAGAACACCCACACACACACACACACACAGTCTTCTCTGTCTCAGCACCCAGTGTGTGTAAGAGAGAGTGGCTATGTGTTTACATTTTATGTGTTGCAACATGTTTTTTTTTTACATTTATGACAGATAATTATGTGTGTGCGTGTGCCTTTACACATCCACAGTGAAGCGTATTAGCATGTGTGTGTGCGTGTGTTGATGTTTCTTTGGTGATTGCCTCTGTGTTTGTGTCTCACGACTGAAGTGTCACGCCCTCAGTCAATGACGCAGACTGATGATGTCACACAACTTGACCCCGTGTGTGTGTGTTTTTGTGAGAGTTTCTGCATCTGTATGAGTTATTCATTTTAAGCTTGCTGATTGGTTGTTTCATGCATGTTTGTCATATGCAAAATACTGTATAGAATATTTATACGCAAAGGTGTATGCATGTGTGCCTGGTTTACAGTGTGTGGGTTTGTGTTTGTGTGTTCTTGCTTGTGCTTGTTTGCCCTCATCCTGAACTTTTCACAGCCATGCTGCTGCTACTGATAACTGACACGATTACACAACTGGAGAAACACAGCGGGGAAAAAAACTTTAAAAAAAATGTGTGTGTGTAAAATTATTTGATAAAAATAAATACTGATCTAATAAATGCTGCTCTTTTAAATGTTCTTAAATTAATCAAAAATATTAGAAATTAGGGCTTTACAGTATACTACAATTGCAATGACAATAATTTTCGGATATATGCAAAATACGGCCTGAAGGTGAACCCAGAGCTGAAAATAAATACTAATGAAGGGTATCGAGACGAGAGGGGAAAATGACAACAGCTAATCAAAGTCAGACTATCTGTTGAGGTTTTCATTCAGTGTTTTAAAGATTAAATGCTTGCACCTTGACAGAGTTTTTAGTCTGAATTAGATCTGAAAAATATCTTTTATCTGTGTATTTTAATATTATTGCATAAATGAATTATTTAAAAACATAGCTAATAAAAATAGCATTTTCCTAGGGAAATGTTATAGAGTAAGAAATATCACAACTATTTTTTTCAGCATCGTGCAGCTCTATTTAAAACCATATTAAATATTTTCTTAAACCAAATGATTTCTATAATGATATAATGATTTATGAAGGATCATGTATCAAATTTAATTTATGTTTATTTGTATAGCGCTTTTCACAATGTAGATTGTGTCAAAGCAGCTTAACATAGTGCTCGAGCCTCGAACATTATCAGGAAGGCTATTCCAGAGTTTAGGAGCCATAAATGAGAAGGCTCGACCTCCTTTAATTTAGAAATCTTAAAGAGGGTTCGAGACAGAAGGTTGGTTAGATAAACAGGAGCTAGATTATTTAAAGCTTTATAGGTAGAAGCAATATTTTATACTAGCTGCATTTCAGCTGCATTTTGTACTAGCTGAAGTTTTTTAATAGAGGATCCTGGGCAGCCAGTGAACACAACGTTACAGTAATCCAGTCTAGAGGTCATAAAAGCATGAACTAGTTTTTCTGCATCTGAGATGCATAGCATACTTTACAACTTAGCAATATTTCTCAGATGAGGGAAGACTAGAGTGAAATTAAGTGAGCAAATAAGGATTGTGTTTTTATTAACACATTCAGTATGACAGTCGGCAAAGCAAATCCAGTTTTTCCACAATTAGCACAGCACAGCATTCTGTTTTCTTTGCAGCATCTGTTAAGTTTGGTTTCTATGTAGACCTGCATTCATCTCTTTTACCTACTGCACTTTAAATAAGTGGGCGGAGCTAAAAAGGCCATCATGTTGAAGTAGGTGTTGATTTTGGAGTTTAGCCACAATATTCACAACTGTTTGGTAGACTGCTCTCAATATATGAGAAAAAAAATTGATATCTGTCAAAAAAAATGTTATACCTTTTATACTGTATTTTAAAAGATCAGGGGAGTTTTGATTGCTTAGTTCACTATATTTAAGTGTCACTTTAATGTATATTACTGTAGACATTGAATTGAGAAACTCTCCATCAGCGTGAGCAGATGTAAACACTCAGGGGTCACTGCCACAGGGTTCATTTCGTGGAAGTGACTGTATAAACGCAAGTCAGTGAGTCACAATGACTGTTAAAACAATGCCTGTGACAGGAAAGCAAAAAGGGTTTGCAAATCTTGGAAAAAGCATTTGTTCCCACTTCATTGCTTTGCTTGGAAATGCAACATTGATGTTTTTACAATGTATTTTTGGACTCACAAATTCAGCATCTTGTCTGAACGTATTATGAACAGTTATGAAAATAATTGTAATTTTTTTTTTGTAAGAGCCAAAATTTGATTTAATATTTTATTAAACATGTTTATTACATAGTTTATTAAACATGCTCAAATTCATTTACAGTTTACACATGTTGATATGTTGTGTACATTTGTTGATTTCACCCCTACTCCTTCGTTTGTAATGGTTTGCTCCTCCTTTATTGGACTGTTTTAAGTTATATTACAAAATGAGAAATTGAAAGACGGAGCAGCACCGATTTTGACCAGAGTTTTTTTTTTTATGATGCTTGACAATTCAGTAAAAATCTTTAATTGGAGTCTATTTATTGCCCAACTGATTTTTTTTATTTTTGATAATACATAATTCTGCATACAGGGTGTCCGCGGGTTTTTAAAAAGTATTAAAAGTTGATAAATCATTTATGAGAAAATTAAGGCCCCTAAAGGTTATTAAAAAGTCCTAATCACGTTTTTATGAGGTCTTAAATTTTGTTCAAGTGTTGTCCAAAAGTGTTTGACTTCAAAAAAATATAGATATATTTATTTTTCTTCCAATTTTAATATCGGCTTATCGATCCACGCAATTGGTTTGGGCCGGCCAAACTCCTCAATCAGGGAGATGTCATGTAATTTGCGATAAATGTGGAAAGGTGATGTGACGCTCTCCACATGTAGTGAAACCGTTGAGCGTAACAGACGGCAAAATGGAAATAAATGTACCTTTATAGACTCCTGGTTGGAGAAAGACGAGTTTAAACTGTGGCTGAAGCCCATCGCTGAAAACAACCGCATAATTTATTCTTTCAAGCTTTGTTTCTTCCAAACTTATCCGAGTTCTGTTGCATGGTTTTGCTCCATTGATTTATTTAACAACGACTGTTTATTAAGTTAAAGGTTTGATACTAATTAGAACTTGAAGTGGTGATGAGGTCTTAAAATATTCGGAGAAGGTCTTTAAAAGGTCTTAAGGTATTGAAATTACCTTTAGGATTCCTACATATACCCTGTCATACAAATTCTGATTCTTATATCATAATATTTGAACACTTGTAAAAGATTTAACATGCTCTTTTGTAAAAAGTAAACGCTTATGTAAAAGTAAACTTCATTTATTTTGTCCTAAATACAGTATTGTGTAAAAGTATTACAATTGTAAAATGACCATCTTCTATCTGATTATATTTTAAAATGTGGTTTATTTCTGATGCAAACCCGAAGTTTGTGCAATTATTGTGTTTGTTACGTTTGTGTTTTCCAGTGGTAACACTTTACTCTACTCTGGGTGGTCCTGCTATTGCTCATGGGCTCAATGAAGCCGAAGTTTCTCACATCATCACCAGCAAGGATCTTCTGGAAACCAAACTCAAGGTGATCAAACACTGGCGAACAACTAATAGATTATACAAAGAGTTTTCTGTAAAAAAAAAATCGGACGGGTCTTAATCAGATTAAACAAGATGTATTATTAGAAAGTTGTTAGAATGTCTTAGCAGGTTTCTAGCATGTTTAACTAGTCATGACAGTTGCTAAAATGTTTAACATGCTTAATGTTAATATATTATGTTTAATCCTATTAATTTACTATGATTTACCAGATTTATAGCATGTTTTAGTATGTTGCTAGCATGTTTTAACACAGTTAACATGTTGTTTAACATGTTGTTTAGCTTTAAAAGCTATTAGCATTTAAACATGTTTTGAGCATTTTAGCAAGTTGCTAGCATCTTTTAGATGTTACATGGTCCCTGCGGTTCTAGAATGGTTTGAATACTATAGCATAGCAACATTAAATTTTTAACATTTTACTAACAAATTGCTAGCATCTTTTAGCCGGTTTTTAGCATGACTTAACAAATGGCTTGCATGTTTATGAGCTGTTAAAATCAAGAATTTAACACGCTATTAGCAAGTTTTTGCACATTGCTAGCATATTTTTACATGTTGCGTGTTACATATTGTTACAGTTTTATGAAGCTTATAATGCTGCATGTTTATTGCATTTGTAAGCTATTAGTATTTAAACATGTTTTGGCATGTTTGTAGCATTTGAACAAGTTGCTAGTGTCTTTTAGCCAGTTTTACTATTTTGTTTTACAGATTGCTTGCTTGTTTATAAGTTGCTGAAATATTAGCATGTTTTAGCACATTGCTAGCATATTTTTATGTTCCCTGCAGTTTTAGAATGGTTTCAGTATGTAAGCATATCAACACGTCATTTTACGTCTTTAAGTTGCTAGCATCTTTTAGCCAGTTTTTAGCATGATTTAACAAATTGCTTGCATGTTTATAAATTGCTCAAATCTTTTAACATGCCGTTAACATGTTTTATCACATTGCTAGCATATTTTTACATAATGTATGTTATATATTGTTACAGTTTTATAATGTTTTTAATACATTAGGATTTCAACATGTCGTTTTTGTGTCTTAAACGTTTTACAAATGTTGCTAGCATGTTGTTACAAAGTTTTTACCTTGTGTTGATGACATAACTTACTCATGATTCATCCAAATCTCCTTCTGGTTAATGCATTTTGTGTTAAAATGCATCACAGTATGCTATTATATGGATGGATTGTCTGTCTTTTGACCCATAGAGCATTGGGCATTTTTAAAGCACAATTAACATGTTTTAACATGGTGCTTGCATGTTTTTTTTTTGCATTTGGAAGCTATTAGTATTTATACATGTTTTGGCATGTTTGTAGCATTTTAGAAAGTTGCTAGCATCCTTCAGCAAGTTTAGTTTTTTAACAAAAGCTAGCAGGTTTATAAGTTGATAAAATATTTTAACACACTATTAGCAAGTTTTAGCAGATTGCTAGCATGTTTTTACATTTTGCAGTTTACAGTTTTATAATGCTTTTAACATGTTATTTTTATGTCTTTAAACAACATGTTAGCAACTTAGTAAAATGTTAATGTTTATGCTATTAGCATTTAAACATGTTTTGGCATGTTTGTAGCATTTTAGCAAGTTGCTAGCATTTTCCAGCTATTTTTAACATGTTTTTTTAAATGCTAGCATGTTTCTAATATGTTAAAATATTTGACACACTTTTAGCATGTTTTAGCACACTGCTAGCATGTTTTTACATGTTGCCTACAGTTTTATAAAGCTTTTAACTTGTTTTTATGTCTTTAACATTTTACTTACAAGTTGTTCGAATGTTGTCATAATGATTACACTACTGGCATTTAAACATGTTTTGGCATGCTTGTAGTATTTTTTGTAAGTTTCAACAAGTTTTAGCATGTTTTTTAAAAAATGGTAGCATGTTTCTAATATGCTAAAATATTTTAACACACTATTAGCATGTTTTAGCACATTGCTAGCATGTTTTTACGTTGCCTACAGTTTTATAATGCTTTTAGCATGTTGTTTTTATGTCTTTAACATTTTACTAAGAAGTTGCTAGCATGTTGTTACAATGGTTATGCTATTAGCATTTAAACATGTTTTAGCATGTTTGTAGCATTTTAGGAAGTTGCTAGCATCTTTCAGCAAGTTTTAGTATGTTTTAACAAATTGCTTGCATGTTTGTAAGTTGCTATCATATTTTTACAGACTATTAGCATGTTTTAGCACATGGCTAGCATGTTTCTACACGTTGACTAGTTTTAAAGTGCTTTTAACATGTTGTTTTTATGTCTTCAGCATTTTACTAAGAAGTTGCTCGCATGTTGTTACAATGGTTATGCTATTAGCATTAAAACATGTTTGACATGTTTGTAGAATTTTAGCAAGTTGCTAGCATCTTTTGGCCAGTTTTTACCATGTTTTAACAATTTGCCTGCATGTTTATAAGTTGCTATCATATTTTTACACAATAATAGCATGTTTTAGTACATTGTTAGCATGTTTTACATGTTGCCTACAGTTTTATAATGCTTTTAATATGACATTTTAACAGTTGCTAGCATGTTGTTGCAAAGTTTATAACATGTTTTGGTGACATAGCCTACTTATGATTCTCCTTCTGGTTATGGCTTTAATATGAACGGGTTGTCTGTCTTTTGACCCACAGAGCATTTTCATCGAGGTGCCCAGATTGTGCCACGTCATCGTGGTTGACGATAAGCTCAGCACCAGCTCTGAATACCCACGAGGCATCAGCATCCACAGCATGGCGTCGGTGAAAGAACTTGGGGCTCGTCCTGAGAATGGTAATAGTGTGTGTTTGAGGTCACATCGGGTCATGTGAATGAGAGATCCTCCATCTGTGTCAGATTAAGGCCGAGGTCGAGGGCGTCCCCGACTCCTCCATGCTAATCCTCTGTGAAGCCCTCAACAGCTGGTAGGAGTGTGTGTGTATGTGTGTGTGTATGTGTGTTTTCTCACACTGCCACAGTCTTCACATGACATCCAGCTGATCTTCCTCCTTGGGCTCGACTTGACATTCACTCTGTTCTGTGTCAGAGCGCTAATGCTAAATCACGCTGTCCCTCGCAACGCACTAATGTACACACTCCAATTCCCATGTTCCACATTTATGGTTCTAGAGGCTTGGTTTTCAAAGCTGAAACGTCCTGTTCTGCTGCTGACATCCCACCCCCACTTCCTGTTCTTATCTGACTCCATTCATTCACATGTGAGCTTACTGGGATCTTGCTTGCAGAGGCTTTATCAGTGTGCATCAGAGAACTGTAGATAAAAGTTTACAGTATAAAGTATTCTCGTCACCTCCAGTTTCACATAAATAGCATCGTCTTTATTTACTGATGTTACAAACCAATATTGTTGTTGGTATCTCTAACACTTTTTAATTTCATTAGCTTTATTATTATATGTATAATTATGTGTGTATGTATACAAGTATAAATATTAGATGTACAACTTACACTAGAACTGACTTTTTTAACTGAATTAGGAAATTACCCATGGCAACTTTAATGTAATACAGTTTGCTATATTTAATTTTGTCCCACAGCTCTCAATCAATCTTGGATTTTGGCCCTTCATAAGAAAAGGTTTGGGCACCCCTGGTCTATACTGATTGATGATTGGCTCTTGTACTAGATGGCAGGACTTCATTCCCCATATTGACGATTTATACTTTTTTCCTATTCCCATTTTCCCAGTATTTCGTTTCTCTATTAATTGCGTCACATTACGAAAAAAAAAACAAATTGTTGCAGCTTTCACTTCGTGCAGACTTTTTAATAAGATTGTTAATTATAGGAATAATACATGAAAAGTTTTATAATAAATAAGGCCCAATCCTAATTTTACACCTTAGCCCTTACCCCTACCTCTTGTTTTGCGTGTTCACGTGGAGGGAAAGGGGTAGGGGTGTCCCCAATTCTCTTTAGTTTCAAAGTGTAGGGCTTAGAGGAAGGGCTAGATAGCTCTTGATACAGAGATTTTTCAGGACCACACTCGAAACCAAGGGGTAAGAAAATATCCCAGAATACACCAGCTACAACAGCAGCATGGCTGCACATGGAAGTCAGGAGGTGCACAAATCAGTATTTATTGTCATTATTTCGAATTTTTTCAACAAACAAGCAAGTTTTAATATATTCATAACCGCATTCGTGTTTTACCATCATGCTTTTTAAAAACGCTAAAATAAAAAACACTAAATTTCGCTATCTATATTCCATAACCATGACTCCTGTACAGCAGTCCCACAACATTCTGACACTCGATGACACTCGAATATCCTGTCAGAAAAGTCTAGTGGCTGGTAATGAGCTTTTTATAGTGTCTGCTATAATTATTAAGGTGAAAGTCATCATAGCCTGGGTAGAATAGACCCAGCTTCCAACCCAACTTTGAGAATAGATTAACGGAAATATATTTTTCTCATGTTTCTATTTATTTCTCTTATTTATAATATATATATATATATATATATATATATATATATATAACAAGCAGATTGATGTTTAATATAATAATCCCTGTATATCTGTAGCATGTAGTGATTAATGTGTAGTGCATATATTTGTGATTTTGTCCACAGCGTCAAAGCCGAAAAATCCTCCATGCTCCTCTGATGTGGCTGTGATCATGTACACCAGCGGATCCACTGGAGTGCCGAAAGGAGTCATGATCTCTCACAGTAACATCATCTCTGGGATCACCGGAATGACACACAGGATTCCCAAGCTCGTGTATGAGAACACACACACACACACACACACACACATTAACATCCTACAGTCAGTCATGTGTTTGCCTGGGCTGAGCATGTGCCGTGCAGCTTCACTAATGCTGTTTATCAAGGTTTCCTTGAAAACCAGTCATTCCCTGTGGACAACATAAACACAGAGTGAGAAAAAGAAAAAACAGTGGCTGTTAGGGGTCTCTGGGGATTCCCATACCATGCAATGTTTATTTTATAAATGTCATTTAGTTTTATGTTCAATTTCTAAGTTGCATCTTGTGAACTCAGCAAAAAATAAAAAGAATAGAGAATATGCACAAAAGACACAATTTTTGCAACATATACTTTTACGAGACAACATAAATTAACAGTATAAACTACTTGACTGAGGAAGTAACAGATTTAGTTAAAAATATATAAACGAGGTCTATCTATGTATAAATTCAGTTCAGAGATAATTGAGCCCAGGGGTCTGAGGTCAGGTAGGTCTGGAGAGCTCTCCCTGGTGAAGAAGGAAAAGGAGGAGATGGGGTGGAAGTGGGGATTCTTCCAAAATGAAGATAAGGCAGTTGGGTGAAATCGGTAGGCTTGGATCAATCTAATTGGTTTATCGCTAATTATGGATGGGAGACCAGCTGTGATCAATCATATCACATGCTCCTCTCAAAATTTGTTTTGTTTTATTTATTATACAAATAAACATAGTTTTTTTTTTACTTATTTATTTCGGTTAGTTGCTAAGGAAATTTAAATCAAAAATGTAATAATTATACAAATTAAATATGCATACATGCATATGCAAACAAAATCACTTTCAAATGTTTGAAGTTAATAAGATTTTTAAAATGCAAATAAATTCTACAATTAAACATACTTTTTTTTCCAGTTAGTCAACAAATCTAAAATAAAAAATATATAATTATACAAATGAATAGGGGTTTCACATCGATCGAAATTGCACACAATCGCACACACAGCCATGCGCTCGAGACAGCAGGTCCAGGCAGTCAGAGGACTGCTTCAATCTTTCACTCACTTGTACTTAGTCATTTTAGCGAACACCTCAGATACTGTTGGCTGGTTCCTGTTGGTTGTGTGTCTTTTTTACCGACGCCATTATAACGACACAGATCACTGCCTATTCATGAGTCCCGCAGAAAAAGTGATTGACAGGTAGTAATTATGTGTGTATCTTGCCTTTATTCATTTACTGTATGATTTGTTTATGGGTAAAACAAAGACCATCCAGGTCAGGTAGTTTAAACGGTAGGCTACAAATAATTAATTGGTCAGTAATTAACTAATTATTCATAATCGAAAATCAAATCGAATCGTGCCTTCAGAATCGAAAATGTAATCGAATCGAGGATTTGGAGGATCCTGACACCCTTACAAATGAACTATGCATGCATATTTTAAAAATAAAGAAATAAATACTGAGTAAAATAAAAGGACATCAAAATTAGATTTCATACATTAGTTTTCTTTTTGGGTTAGTCCTATGATTAATCTAGGGCCGCCACAGCGGAATGAACCGCCACATTATCTAGCAAATATTTTTACGCAGCGATCCCCTGTCAGCTGCAACCCATCACTGGGAAACACACATACACCCTCATTCACACACAAACACTACGGACAATTTCGCTTACCCAATTCACCTGTAGTGCATGTCTTGGGACTGTGGGGGAAACCGGAGCACCCAGAGGAAACCCACGCGGACACAGGGAGAACATGCAAACTCCAGACAGAAATGCCAACTGAGCAAGTTGAGGCTCAAACCAGTGATCTTCTTGCTGTGAGGTGTCAGCACTACCCACGGCGCCACTGCGCAGCCACAATTATATTTCAAAATATGTAATTAAAACATTTATGAAACAAGGTGGCTCAGTGGTTAACACTGGCCTCACAGCAAGATGGTCGCTGGTTCGAGCCAACGGCTGGGCCAGTTGGCATTTCTGTGTGAAGTTTGCATGTTCTCCCCGTGCTGGTGTGGGTTTCCTCCTTGTGCTCTGGTTTCCCCCACAGTCCAAACACATGCAGAATTGGTAAATTGGATAATCTAAAATTTGCCATATTGTGTGAATGTGAGTGTATGGATGTTTCTCAGTCATGGGTTGTGGCTTGAAGGGTATCCAATGCGTAAAACATACTGGAATAGTTGGCGGTTCATTCCGCTGTGGCAACCCCTGATAAATCAGGAACTATACCAAAGGTAAATGAATGAATGAATGAGTGAATTATGCATACATCCATATGCATATAAAATCACTTTCAAAGGTTTTGAGTTGGTATGGTTTTTAATGCAAATAAACATAGTCTTTTTATTATAATTATTATTATTATTATTTAATTAATCTTTTGGTTAGTTGCCAATAAATCTGAAATAAATATTGACAAATTATATTAATCATGCATACAGTGTACATATTTTGAAAATAAACAAATAAATACTGTGTAATATAAATTACCACAAAAATCTGATTTCAAAATTTTTTAATCAATTAAAACATTAATATTTAGATATGTATAGTATTTAATCCTGAAGTAATCAGTGTTGCATGATTCTTCAGAAACCTTTTTTTATATGCTGATTTGCTGCTAAAAAAAACATCTGTAATTTTTACTGTAGTTCTATGCAATATTTATGTCTTTGCAGTATAACTTTTTGATCATTTTATTGTATCCCCGTTGTATAAAAGTATTTGCCTGGAAATAAATAATCATAAATTCCACAATGGTCAAGTTTAACTTTTATAAACTAATTTCAAGAGGAGCACGTGATATGATTGATCTCAGCTGGTCCCTCATCTGTAATCAGTAATAATTATAGCTCTTGAGACTTACCTGATCTCAGACCCCTTACATGCTAATTGACCTGGCAGGAGCCCTGAGCTCAATTATATATAAGCTCAAGGTTCTCTCCCGGGACAGCATGTCAAACCTGCTAATAACATCAAGCAATATCTAAGTGTGAACTCTTTTCAATGGTATACTTAAGATGAATGACTATTATATTTTTTACGCAGGCATGAAGAGCAGTCGGTCTAATATATATTTTCTGGTTTTGAATGTAAAATGTGCCGTTGATATGTACTATAAACGAATGATGTTGTGTTTGTGTTTGCAGTGAGGATGACACATATATTGGCTATCTTCCACTGGCTCATGTGCTGGAGTTGAGCGCTGAGATGGTGTGTTTGGCTCACGGCTGTAGAATCGGCTACTCTTCACCACAAACACTCTCAGATCAGGTAACACACACACACACACACACACACACACAATTGATCATACTGACTGTGTACATTGTGGGAATCCAAACACTTCTCAGTAAATTTTCACAATATCTGCATCAGGACACGGCTCTGTAAACATTAGATCTTTTTTCTTGAAATATTGTTTATATCAGAGAAATACTTTTTTTTTTCTCCTCCGTGGAATAAAAAATAAAGTAATTGCAAATTTTTTAATTAATTTTTTTTCAATAATTGCAAATTTCTCATGATTCTCATTGTTCAAGTCTGAATTGTGTGTTTACGGCCTGCAGTTATGAACAAATTATATTTTGCAATTCTTTTTTGCAAAGACTTTTTTCATTCTTTTTTCAAACCTTGTGATTCTCACGCTTTCTTTCTGGAATTTTTATTTGCATTTTACAATTCTAAATATTTTTACCTTAGAATTTCACATTCACACCTTGGAACTCTTACTTATCCTCCTGGTTTACAACCCACATGTTTAACTTTTTCAGATATTTTTCCAATTGAATTCCTGGTTTCCTCTTCACATTTCTGACTTTTTCAGAATTCTGAATTCACACCTTATAATTCTGACTATTTCTCTCATTGAATTCCTGGTTTACAACCCTTATTAATGTTTTCCCCTAAAAATTCATAGTTTACATTTGACAATTGTGACTTTTTACAAAAAAAAAAAAAAATCAGTGCTTGCAGCTTGTGATTCTGACTTCTGAACTCTTATTTCAGACTTTTCCTCCTGCAGAATTCTGAATTCACATCTTATAATTTTGACTTTTTTACTCTTTGAAATCCTTGTTTACAGCCCACATTTCGGACCCCACAACACCCTCCCCTCCCTAGCCTATAATTAATAGTTACAATTCAGACTTTTCCCCTTCAGTTTAAAAAACAGATTTCACTTTTTTTCCCCAAGAACTGTGATTTTTATATCTTATAATTATATATATCAAACTTAAAGAGATGGTCCAGAGTGTATTTTTAAGGCTTGGTTGTGTTTATACAATGCAAACCAAAGTGTGCTCATGCTTCATTTGTAGAAAATCATGTTATTTTTTCACATATCTTAATTTGATTATATACAGCTACTCGAGCGCATGGCTGTGTGCGTGTCTGTGTGGTCATGTGATGTGCATTTTCAGAGGAAGGAGGGCTGCTTAGAAATGCTACACGCCACTGTGGATGTCAAATCGTTGTCGTTCTAAAATGCCATTTAAAAACAAAGACAGTGTAAACAGGGCCTGAGTGTGTACTTTTCGCGAGCGGATTTGCAACGGGGGCGGGCGGAGGATCGCGATGCCGATGTTGTCTATCGGATGAACCGTACGTAATACGTACATAGCAGAGCTTGCAAAACTGTGTTTTTTTTTTGTCGACAACACGAACGTTGTCAACATAACTCACTGGAAACCCAAAATGCTTCCACACCGGCGACTTCATTGAAAGAGGAGAGGGTTTAAGTTCTCTCGACGGGTCTCCTGCTTCTGCAGTTTAACAGCATCGACGATTCTATTTTTTGATTCGTTAATCGAAATTGAGCATAAATTTCGATCGATTTCGATTAAAAATCGAAATCGTGACACCCCTAATATATATATATATATATATATATATATATATATATACACACACACACACACACACACACACACACACACACACACACACACACATATATATATATATATATATATATATATATATTTTTTTTTTTTTTTTTTTTATTATTTTTTATAATTCTCTGTAACATAATTAAAATAACCTGAAGCGTTTGTGATCTTACTAGCCCGGATGTATTTTTTTGTAGTCCCCAAACTTCGTTCAATGTAGACTTGGCTAAGCTAGCTAGATGTTGTTTATTTTCACGCTGCTACATTACACATCAACTTAAGTTTAAAATATGATATCATAGTAGACCACCCACCCCTAACCAACACATGCACCAGTTTTTGCACATTTGCACAACAGACACAATCTTACAATCACTCTATATCTCTATAAAACATTGTGCGTTTCTGAGTGTGCCTCACACAGGTGAGTGGGCTTGACAAACCACCTGTAGAAACATTATTATCTCTAAATGTAGTTGAAAAAAATTTAAAAACTCTCCCCTTCTTACTCTAGCACCGACTAAATGCAAATGTATAAACACTAAATGGCAAATTCCAAGACCCACATCACAACTGAGCCCTAAAATAAAACGAATACCTTTTTAACATTTTAATTCCATAGAGAGCTGCATGGAGGCTTATTTTCTTCTGTGACGTCACGGTCAAGAGTGTCAAATAATGTCACAGTGGAAAATGCTGAAGCACCAGAGCCACGTAATGGAAAAACACACGCGGTGCTGTGGGACTCTCTCATTTATTGACACTGGATTGAAACTATGAGCATGCATAATTTACCATGCACGCTTCACATTCTCATTCCCATTTGTTTTTCACTCTGCAGTCGACCAAGATCAAGAAGGGAAGCAGAGGAGACATCAGCGTCCTGCGGCCCACTTTGATGGCAGCAGTACCAGTAAGACTCCATCTCCGTTTCTCTCTTTCTCTCTGGGCTTTTGGGGTTGAATGTCAGCCAGTGTGATTGTCAGGAACGATTTGCAGCTGTAAACAGAACGTGAGAAAGCCCAGTGTGGATTTATCCCTCACACACACGCATACACACACACACACAAGCAGAGCCTCACACACGGCACATACACAATTAATAATGTTTGAATTTGAGGATTGGCTTTGCCCAAGGACACTGTAAATGCACACAAACGCACACATGCACACACTCCCTGTGGACTGATAATGACACACAGCTCAGCAAACTTCCATAAACACTGTAGTGGGGAGAACATCCGAATCATGAGGGAGCATGCAGAAAATAATAATAAATAAATAAATAAAAGATTCAGAATTCAGCCTCTCCACCCTCCCGTATCAGATGAGATGGAAAAAATGTTAGCAGTAACTCAATTAGAATCAGTGTCCAATTCCCTTCATCAAATACAGTGCCGTGGTACCAGATGGAGCTTTTATTGTGTGCCGTTTCATTGGGTGTTGAACTTGTTTTGTTTTCTGGTACTGTTTGTTTTCTTTCTGTGAGAAGAGGTCATCGCTTCTGTGCCCATGTGAGGTCAGGGGGTTCTTTTTGTGATGTCATTTCCTGCTTAATGGTTTTTCTCTTCACATGGCAACAGGATGATGATGATGATAGTGACTTTAATTTTGGGAACAGACGTTATTAAACTGTTAGAAATGCGTAAAACGCAAAGAATCGAATTTAAAATCCTTCTCTTTGTGTATAAAGCTCTACATGGTCTTGGCCCTCATTATTTATCCCCACTGATTGTTAACTACACTCCTCCAAGACATTTGCGTTTCGCTGATCAGTTTTTATTAAAAGTTCCAAAGGCTCACCTCAAAATTAGGGGCGAATGTGCTTTTGCCATAGCAGGTCCTCGCCTCTGGAACTCTTTGCCATTAGAACTAAAAAAGGCTTTGTCGCTGCCTATTTTTAAGTCTAAATTAAAGATGCATTTATTTTCTAGGTCATTTGAAGAATAATGTCCTTCCCTTTCAGAAAGTCGGGTGGGGGTAATCAAAACGGTCATGTTCTCTATCGTGTTTAGTGTTGGTCAACTGTGGTAGCATCTTTTAATTAGGAAAAAATATTTTATTATTTTTTTTATTTATTTAATTTTTTTTTTTTTGATAATTTTTCTATGTTCCTTCCTATTATGTGCCTATTGCTGTTTTTACTGTTTTATGCTCATATAATGTGTTTATTTTCTCTCTGTAAAGCACTTTGTGCGGTCTTGTGGCAGTTGGAAACGTGCTATATAAATAAATATAACTTGAACTTGAAAATAATAATGTTTATGGTAATTATAGTAATAATAGAATACATATAGAGTAATATTAGAGTTCATTCATTCATTTACTTTTCGTCTTAGTCTCTTTATTCAGCAGGGGTCACCACATTGGAATGAACTGCCAATTATTTATCCAGCATATGTTTTTGCGCAGTGGATGCCCTTCCAGCTGCAACCCAACTCTGGAAAACACCCATATCGGTGTTTATAAACTTACTCTCATACACTGCAGCCAATTTTGCTTACCCAATTCACCTATACCACATGTCTTTGGACTGTGTGGGAAACCTACGTGAACACGGGGAGAGCATGCAAACCACACTGAAATGCCAACTCTATTGTGCGATTGTGCTACCCACTGCGCCACCATGATGCCCTAATACTAGAGTAATCTGTACTCACTGATCTGGGGTGCATTTCCCAAACAACAACAAACTATCATAGTACGATGCATCATTTGGGAAAAGAGCAATGTAGTGACGAGTGTTTCCCAAAATCCGTAGTTTCTCTGTTGCAGATCCATCGTTTGAACCACGTTAGTTATAATGTAAAACGCCCATAATGATGCTCTAAACGATGTGGAAAGAATGATGGGGTTCTTCTTTTTGTGCAAATTATATTGTTTTACACGCATTTAAAAACAAACAATCCAATATTAGATTTGGTAAAAACATGAACTCGTTTTCCATATTAACTGAAATATTTGTAAACGTCACATGGACTATAATTCAGAAATATTATTGTTTACATGTTTATTGTTGATGTGTCCCTTGAGGGAAAACAATGTCCGCAAACATTAATATTATGAGGGAGAGAACGAAATCTGATGTTTCAGAACCGAAAGCTTGTGTTTCAGTGATGTCATCAGTTAAGTCTGCAACTTTTTTTTATGCACATACTTTCTCCGTCTCTGTTTGTAGGAAATAATGGATCGCATCTACAAGAATGTGATGCTGAGGGTGGAGCAAATGAGTGGATTTCAGAGGACTCTCTTTCTGCTGGCCTACAACTACAAGATGGAGCAGCTGGCAATGGGATACAGCACTCCACTGTGTGATAAGTGTGTCTCTCTTTTACTCACATACACACACACACACACACAAACACAATCATAAACAAAATGTTAGGAACTCTTCAAGACTGGTTTTCAGTCAACACACACACTCTCTCAAGCTTCAGTTTTCCTGTATCCAGGCTGGTGTTCAGGAAGGTTCGGGCTCTGCTGGGTGGGCGTCTGCGTGTGTTGTTGTCAGGCGGAGCTCCTCTGTCTGCGGCGACCCAGCGCTTCATGAACATCTGCTTCTGCTGTCCTGTAGGTCAGGGCTACGGCCTCACCGAGACCTGCGGCGCAGGCACCATCAGCCATCGTGAGACTCGCATCTTCATCAGATACACCAGCACTTCATCATATATTGCATAGATTCAAAATCTCTTTACTGTCTTCACATTTGAAATATCAGATACAGTTAAAGTCAGAATTATTAGTTTGCCAAATGATGTCATTTTTCACAGTAATTCCTATAATATTTTTTATTCTGGAGAAAGTCTTATTTGTTTTATTTTGACTAAAATAAAAGCTGTTTTTACTTTTTTAAGGTCAATATTATTAGCCCCCTTAAGCAATATTATTTTTTGATTGTATCCAGAACAAACCATCGTTATACAATAACTTGCCTAATTAATTTAATTAACCCAGTTAAACATTTAAATGTCACTTTAAGCTGTATAAGTGTCTTGAAATTACTGTCATGTCAAAGATAAAATAAATCAGCTATTAGAAATTAGTAATTAAAACTATGATTACAAAAGTGTTGGAAAAAGTACATCATAAATGTCTTAAAGTAATAGTGTTTAGTATTGAAGACACACAGTAATTAATATTAAAACTCAAGTGGTCATATCATGGAAAACAGCTTATGATTTATAGTGCTAGTTAGCAAATCTTAAAGGGATAGTTCACCCAAAAATGAGAATTCGGTCATCATTTACTCTCCTTTTACTCGTTCCAAACCTTTATGAGTTTCTTTCTTCTGTTAAACACAAAAGAAGATGTTTAGAAAAGTTCTGGAAACCTGTAATCATTGTCTTCCGTAGTATTTGTTGTTCCTATGAAAGTTAATGGTTACTGGTTTTCACCATTCTTTAAGGCAGTGGTCACCAAACTTGTTCCTGGAGGGCCGGTGTCCTGCAGATTTTCGCTCCAACCCTAATCAAACACACCTAAACAAGCTAATCAAGGTCTTACTAGGTATACTTGAAACACCCAGGCAGGTGTGTTGAGGCAAGTTGGAGCTAAACCCAGCAGAGACACCGGCCCTCCAGGACCGAGATTGGTGACCCCTGCTTTAAGGCAAGCTCATTCAGTTAAGGCACAGTGCGCATTCACCTTAAGAACCTCATGTCTTTTCCCAAACGCAATGATTTCAGTTTTCTCTTTGTTTAGCTGAAGAAAGTTTTTGCACATCCAACTGTTAATTTCATCAATGCATTGGCAGAGGGTGTCAGTGGGGCTGTAGTCATTAGGCAGAATACCTATGTAGATCTGAGTGTCATCAGCATAGCTGTGGTAGGAGATTTGGTTCTTTCTCATTATTTGGCTCAGTGGGAGCATAAAAAGGTTGAACAGGAGAGGTGCCAGCATCGAGCCTTGTGGTACTCCACATGTCATGGGTTTTCCCCTCGACCTATGGTCACCTATACTGTCATAGTAACCTCTCCTTTCAAGGTAAGATCCACTAATATCTTCTTTTGTGTACAACAGAAAAAAAAAAAAAAAAACTTAAAACTTTAGAAGCACTTCAGGGTGAACAAATTGAATACATTTTCAATTTTGGTTGAACTATCCCTTTAAATGTCCCATTCTAATAAAAAACGAATGATGGTAATGCTAACTAAATTACTATTTGGAGCCTAAGAATCAGACTGACATTATAAGTGAACCCGAGAGTCCAAACAAACAAACATGATGTTACCATATTAATATGCACCAATCATAATATTCAAAATATCTGTAATTGTGTGATTAATAAGAAAATTACATTAACCAGAAGTCCATCCAAATAAAACTAGGTCACCAAATCCTGATCCTCGGCATTCGCAGGGAAAACAAAGCATCATCATGAACATGTGCAAAAGATGTAAAATGATTTGAGTTTGAGTTCTCGGAGGACTCTGTGGTGAGCCCCATGCAGCTGCTGACTTCTCAAATATGAGCGTTTTTATTGAAGATGCATATTTAGTCATCACTGTTTTTTTTTTGTGTGCAATGGAAATAATTACATAACTGCAGCCTTACAGCCAAAGCACAGATTGTTTTATGTGATGTTATTGTCTATATGTGTGTGTGTGTAGTGTGGGATTACAGTACAGGGAGAGTTGGAGCACCGCTGGTCTGCTGTGAACTTCAGCTGAAGGACTGGATAGAGGGTGAGTCTCGTAGCATACACACATGCATATATCTGCTCTTATGAAAACACTGTCACACGCGTTTACCCATCCGTCAGGCCATATGTCTGCTCGTTTGCTACCTCGAGGGAAGGACGAGCAATAAAACAACAGAACAAAAGAGAAGGAAGTGGAACAAAAAAAAGTATTTATGGTTATCATTTGCGGCCTTGTAAGGAAGACATTTTTAGCGGCTGCTTCTTTAGTGGTTTTCGGTTTTTCTCTTAATGAATCAAACTCAGTCCGGAGGTTATGAATATCAGAAGAGTATACTTTATTGTGGACAACAAAGGAGATTTTTCAGGAGACCCCCGGTAACATCTCTGCCTGAAAATCAAGGAATCAAGTCTCACTGATGTTCTGGCCTGCTTATATACTCTTTTGCAACTGTTTTTCACATTGTTCTACATATGTCACACAAGATCCCACCTAGTTTAACCCCTGACCCCAAATTACACCTAGTTTAACCCCTGACCCCAAATTACACCTAGTTTAACCCCTGACCCCAAATTCCACCTAGTTTAACCATATATCTTATCCATTTCTTGTGACACCTTAATTTTTCTAATGGTATATATGTCTACAAGCAGATTATACACATACAATTTGAATATATAGATTAACTTCACACTTTAAAGATTATAAAATCCACTTCACTTCTGGACAGATCAGATCATCTTAGCTTTTTTAACTGTAATTACTAAACATGTTTGAATAAAACATTATATAATGGCATTTTATTTAAGTCATAGGAATGAGAGGCCACAGGGATTAAATGCACTGTGTAATATTTGTAAATTAGCAGTTGTCTGTATTTTTCTGGTCCATGTTTTTAGTTTTCCCTGTTTATTTATGCTTTTGAGTAGCATTATGGGACCTTAAAGGAGCAGTAGGTGATCTGCCAAAATGCTAACCGCTTAGAATATTATCTTTGGACGGCGAGGAGGGACTGTGATTCAAAGCCACACCCCCTGAAATCACGAGCACGCGCACCACGTCACAACAGCAGACAGACAACCCACTAGTTGATGTCATTCGCTAGTTAGTTAGTGCCAGCGCCGTGCAGGAATTACATTTATTACTTAGCCACACTTACATGCTATTTCAGAGCGAATATTCAGAGTAGCATGGTAAACAGTATAGGAAGGCTGTCATAGTTCAAAAATGACACAATGTGAATATAAAAGCAACTTCAGCTCAGTATAGCAGGTTAGGTGGAATAGCGCTATTTACTGAGGTTTTGTTGTTAAACTAAATAGAAATCTACATTATCGATGCTGTAAAACGGTCATTATGAAACTGAAAAAAATCACATCAATCTTTCGCCGGGAGATTTCAGTGGCTGGACAACACGTCTGTGCATATAAGTTATTCATAACAGAACACTATCTAACATAGTACTAAAATAGTTTTAAATCAGAGCAATACCTGTCTAACAGTAATACTTCAGCCATGGTGTCGTCCTTCCTCCAGCGTGTTGAAGTAACTCCAATATGGATTCAGGTTTTTAAAAGTTTCAATTCAGCAATTGATTTCTCCCGGTCCGTCTCGTGACCATGCGGCGCTTCTGCAGACGGGCACGCGTGAATGGCGGATCTGCGTGACAGACAGTCTGAGCTGCTTATCTGAATTATGGGAGATGTCGGTCCGATAATATTTAATTGGATGAACATTTTTTAGTTTTATGCCTTACACTGAATATAAAAATACATATAAACACATTCAGACCATTTACTGTAATCACTACTATTGGACTGTGAAGAGACTTTCAACCAGCCCAACAAAAAAAGTTTCTGAAGACAATTACCTACTGCACCTTTAAACTTTCTTCCAACAACTTTTTAAAATTGTAAAAGTTTGAAAAAGTGACTTTTATGAACGTCTATAATAGTTTAAAGTAGGGCTGGGTGATAATTCAATATCGATAATTATCAGGATATATCATTTTTCAATAAAGCGATATTGACAGTTTGATAATTGCTCGATTAAAATTTAGGCACTATCCGTAACGTTGCGCAAGCATTTTGCAGCCTGCCCTTCCGGATGCCGCACACTGCCATACAGTGTTTGTTGCACTTGAAGGAGTAAGAAAAAAAATAAGGTAAAATAGGTCACAAACATCGTTGACAATAAACGTCACTAAACGTCAGTAGTCTTGATCTACTTATTTTTTTGCAATCCGACACAAAACCGAGCAACATGCACTGCAAACTGCGCAGACGACTCATGCCATCAGGAGGAGACAAAATCACAAACCAGTTTCATAGTTTAAAACAATGCCACCCTTATGAAGATGCAAATTACAAACCCAGACAAGTGTTGGTAAACCAGCTTTGCAGCTACCCAGCAGAGTCTCTTTTCATAATTTTCGAAAGCCGTGCCTTACGAGAAAAAACCCGAAAAGACAGACAAAAGACATGACACATAACACGATCGCAAACACATCTCAATGAACACTTGATGCTTGCTGTAAACTACAGGCTGTATTATTCAAGGGCATTTGTTACGACATTAACCGGATCTTTTGTTGTCAAGCTTGTTTCCTTTTTTAATATTATGATATTTGCTTTGATATATATGTACATATATATGCAGTCGCCTCACAGTAAGAAGGTCGCTGGGTTGCTGGTTCGATCCTCGGTTCAGTTGGCATTTCTCTGGGAAGTTTGCATGTTCTCTCTGCGTTCGCGTGGATTTCCTCCGGGTGCTCCGCTTTCCTGGGGAATTGGGTAGGCTAAATTGTCCGTAGTGTATGAGTGTGTGTGTGAATGTGTGTTTGGATGTTTCCCAGAGATGGATAGCGGCTGAGACGGCATCCGCTGCGTAAAAACTTGCTGGATAAGTTGCCAGTTCATTCCGCTGTGGCGACCCCGGACTAATAAAAGGGACTAAGCCGACAGGAAAATGAATGAATGAATATATATATGAATTCTCTCACTCTCACTTACTACTCTTCAGCTTAGTCCTTGATTTACTAAATACTCTGGCAAATGTTTTATGCAGCGGATGACTTTCCAGACACAACACACTGGAAAAACCCATACACTCTCTCTCGTTCACACACACATTTGTTCACTATGGCCAATTTAGTTTTACCCAATTCACAAGAAGAAATTAACATCCTGAATGACAAAGGGTTGAGTAAATTGGCTGGAAATCTTTCATTCTGGAGGTGACCTAATCGTATGCTTTGATCCATGCTAAAACTTCTGCTCATGGTGGATTTTTGGGATTTTTTGTTGTGCGTTTTATCCATAATCCATTTCCCCGTCCCCCATCCTGTACTGCATGTCTCCAGGTGGATATCACAGCACAGACCTGCCCTGTCCACGAGGAGAGATCCTGGTCGGTGGGCCCAGTATAACCATGGGCTACTACAAGAACACACACAAAACCAGTGAGGACTTCTTTGTGGACAAGAAAGGCCAGCGATGGTTCTGCACCGGAGACATTGGCGAAATTCATGGAGACGGCTGCCTGAAGATCATTGGTGAGACACACTGAGAGATCATGTGCATTTTAGTTGCATTTACATTGAATTAACTCTGATGTGATGAATTTTTTGTATGTCGGGGTGATAAGATTCTGATGGTATGATAACCTTGGATAAAAATATCACGGTATTGTGTTTACTGCTCTAAAATATGCTCTTTTTTTTTTTAAAGAGCCCATATTATACATGAAATAGGGTCATATCTTGGTTGTAAGGGTCTCCAACAACAGTTTAATATGCATGCAAGGTCAAAAAACACTTTCATGGTCTTATAATCTGCATTTATTTTTACCTAATTATCCCAGTGACTCCCGTATGAATCGTCCAGTGATTCATTTGTTCCCAAACCCCTCCTTAGCGCGAAGCTAATCTGCGCTGATAGGACCAATGACAGCCTGTTGCGATTGGTCGACTGCCTTCAGTCAGAGAGTGAAATGCCCAATAGCTAATCAGCAATATAAAAGTAATCACAGTTCATACACGCTCGATAGTGTAGGAGTGGATTTTAGCTGCCAGTGGGTCAATGTAAATACAGACTATGAACTTGAAAATACAGACGACTGACTATTTTATTGAGCAAAAACTCCAAAAACAGTTGAGGAGATATCCTAGCTTCACACACACACACTACTCCTCGTCCACGGAGCTCCGTTAACAAAGCAGCACGCGTCGCGTTTTTAAAGTGACTTTGCACGCGATAAGAGAATATAGCCAGTTAACCTGATACAGTACACGCGGTTACAAGTAACAAATCACAACTAAATACATTTGCAAGCTAGAGTAAACGAGGCAACTTTAATCGCATGTACTTACACTTGAGAAATGGAGGAAGAAAAATCCATCCTGACGTCCATCAGTAAGTTACTCTTTACTGATCCTTCCTTTAACAAACGCAGATGAAGTATTCTTTGTAGCATGTAGTTTCCAGAAGTTTCCAGAAGTTTCCAACTGCTTGGCTATAATGCTAAGGTTTCATGTTTGGGTAGAGACTCAATATATCCATCTGCAGTGTGACTTCAATCGACCGGCATGTTTGTGTGTGTGTGTGTGTGTGTGTGTGTGTGTGTGTGTCTGGGTTTCTGCGTCAGAGGGCGGGGCCTCAGGTTTGGAATCTCCCGGGTTTGCGCGTGCACGTGAATAACTTGGTTTCGTTCGTACGTCATGGCGAAACACCTAATGAATCGGTATCAAGGCGACTCGTTTGAAGCACTATGAGTCGACTCTTTTATAGATGAATCAATAGTTTTAAACACTGTATTCTTACAGATTTAAGCCTTAGCTGGATACTTCACTTCACTTAGAGCTGTGTTACACACTACATGGAGGGGAATTTTCAAAAACCCATAATATGGGCTCTTTAAGGGTCATGAAACACCAAAACACATGTTTTGAGATGTTGACGGTCATATATGTGTCCCACTTTGCTAAAAACACTATTAGGACACATATATTTCACTGAAAAGTGAAAATTGGTTGGTTTTTTTGTGATATATCAAGCAATTTTTTTCCGGTTTGAAAAGAAAAGCTGCGTCACGGCGATGAGATCATTGTGTAAATTCCAACGTGGAGACTGGCTGTCTGTACCATTAGGTACAACATGACGTCTGAGTTTTCATCATTAATTCATGAGAAAGACTTGGTTCAAACCAATCAGCGTGCTCTATTGTGAATGATGTGCAACTTCATTAATATGCATGATAGCTTCGAAGAGTTTTTACCTGTTACAGTGTTCAGGTAGACACAATGTTGTGTTGCCAACCGTAATTAATTGGGGCATCTGCTGTCTTCGTTAGTTTCAAAAACACAAATATATTTACAACTTGATAAGGCATATTTGGATATCTTTCTGTTCTTTTGATGTAAAGTAAAGCCACTGATCTGTTCAGGTCTATTGCATGCTTGGATGTTGCTTTATACGCGATTTGTACAGTTGAAGTTAATTATTAGAATTATTTGCCCCCCTGAATTATTCTTTTTTTCCATAATTTCTTAAAATGGGTTTTAAAAAAATTAAAACTGCTTTTATTTTAGCTGAAATAAAACAAATAAGTCTTTCTCCAGAACAAAAAATATTATCAGACACACTGTCAAAAATGCCCTTGCTCTGTTAAACATCGTTTGGGAAATATTTTAAAAAGAAATAAAAATGTAAAGGGGGTGAATAATTCTGACTTCAACTGTATTTCAGATGTTTGCTGAATTTTGGACTTTTGAACACGTTGACTTTTCCAAACCGCTGTAAACCTTAAAACCAATTATAAATGGAAGTCCCCTCTTCGTTACAATAAAACACTGTAGTGCTGTATTTCCTGAAAATAACACATCTCACTGTAAACATATTGCCAGCGATAAGAACTCAAAGGAAACAGTACAAAAGGGAGAGAAAGAGAAACTTCCTGTTGCCAAATTTAAGGTCTGAAAAATCGTACACAGCGGCCTTCGGTGGATTCATGAAAACAAAAACTGCAAAAAACATACCTCATGGGACATATTTGCCGCTCCCCAGAAATGTATATTGGGGTATGTTTTCAGTATGAGCCTGGGTTGTTCCTTTGGGAACCAGTTTAATTCACAGAATTTCCACAAAGTATGTTGTATACCAGGGGTGTCAAACTTAATTCCTGGAGGGCCGCAGCCCTGCACAGTTTAGTTCCAACCCTGCTCCAACACACTTACCTGTAGGTTTCAAACAAGCCTGAAGGACTCAATTAGTTTGATCAGGTGTGTTTAATTAGGGTTGGAACTAAACTGTGCAGAGCTGCGGTCCTTTTGGAACTGAGTTTGACACCTGTGCTGCATACTGTAAACTCGCAGACTTTTTTGGTCACATCCATAATGCAAGTTTATTTTCCTCATTTAAATTTTTAAAAATGTTTACAGATTGGTTAGTTGTTTTGGAAAATATAAACAGATGTTTTAGTGTAATGTGAACATACGCTTTCACTTAATGTTTTAAGTTTTTAAAGCAAATGTCACATCCATAACGCTGGATTTGCTTTCGTGTGTGTTAGACCGTAAGAAAGACCTTGTGAAGCTGCAGGCAGGAGAATACGTGTCTCTGGGAAAAGTGGAGGCGGCCCTGAAGAACTGCCCACTGGTGGACAACATCTGCGCCTATGCAAACAGGTAAAACACAATCTGCACCACACTCACAAAAACACACACAACTTATTTTACAGTCAGAAGCTAATCACATGCTCACCAATAGCCAAATGTGAAAAAAATGTGCAGTGTTTTAAACCAGGGGTGCCAAACCTTTTTGTATGAAGGGCCAAAAACTAAATATCCTTAAGAGCCATTGGCCAAAGGTAAGTATAGCAAACTATATACCTAATTTATTTCATAATATTTCAAAATAAATAGAAAATATCACTTTAAATTTATATAATGCAGTATCACTTTTAAAATTATAACATCTAGCAATAAAAACATAAACAGTCACATTTATAAAACAGTGAAGTTCAATGCTGAATACACAGGTCAAGCTAAATCTGCCTTTGCCATGATTTGCTCACCAAAGTCTTTGCATTGTCAGGTGACAGTATTTACATTTAAACTAAATCTGAATAATTTACACCCTTTAATTCATGCTTTTTATTTCAGTTAGCTTTTAACAAAAACAAACAAACAAAGGGTTAAATAAAATTTAAATTGACAATCTCTAAACCATCCCCATTATTCTCAGATGGGATGACAGGCCAAATCAAAGGTTACTACGGGCCACAGGCCCTAGTTTAGGCATCTCTGTTTTAAAAGCATTCTAACAATCCCTGAGTACGCATTGTAAGCATGATTATTAAATTGTAAGTTTTAGATAGCTTTTTTTTTGGAAAATACAATAAAGACATAAATTCTACAGAAAATCGTTCAATTGAAGAAGATTAGACAAAATTAGATCCAAATTCGATTTTTTTTACATATTGTAGTTATTATTATTATTATTATTAATAATAATAATATTAATATTATTATTAATATTTTTTATATTGTATCTTTTTCATTGATAATTTTTTTTGTTTACATGTTTGTTGGACCAAATTTGTGTTTGTTTATGTGTTTGAATATAAAAAATAAATACATAAAAGTTATTTAAAAAATGCACCAAATTATTAATAAAAATTTTTCATTAAAATATTAATAAAAAATGTTCACTTAAAATATTAATTAAAAATGTTAATAAAATATTAATTAAAAATGTTAATAAAAATATTAATTAAAATATGAATAAAAATAGTCATTAAAATATTCATTAAATAGCCATTAAAATATTCATTAAAAATATTAATAAAAATATTAATTGAAATATTCATAAAAAAATGAATAACATTTATATATATATATATCTACATACACACACAAAAGTTTCCTGAGGCCAATACGGTGGATCAGTGGTTAGCACTCACAGCCTCACAGCAAGGACCCCTGATGAATAAAGGGACTAAAAAATAATGCAAAATAAATAAATAAAAATAAAATAATGCACATTAACTTTACATTATTACAAAAGTGTGTATGTGTGATTCAGAATAAAATGCACAAAAACATTTTCAAAAATGTAATTAAATGATTTATTTTGAGTTATGCTGCGCTCACACATGAGCTTGTGCTTGTGAAATTCTGTAGTACATTGCTGTGAAAATAGATAAACCAACATGATTAGACGTTGATAAAGCGAGCGATCGCTTCATATCTCCAAACATTCTGTACAGAGAGGTTATGTTTTGATCTTCTGTTGGTCTCACACAGTCACATGATGCGATTTCGCAGGTCAGAGTTTACAAAGCTTGAACTTTCTAACGCAGCAACATGCTAAACTTTTCGCACAAGCTTATGTTTCCGATGTCCTGACATTTTATCCCACCAATCAAATTATGCTGCCAACACTGTATTTGAATGGTTCTGAGGTTGGGGTTTGGGATTAGGTAGGTTAGGGCGATATTACAGCTTCATATCACACTACTCCACATTAAAATCTGCTACACTGGTAGCAAAATCTGATGGGTAGCATATTGCGTCATCAAAATATGCTACCTACTTTTTTTAAATGGGAGGTAGGACAAATCGACAGAACACCGGCCTGTGAGGAAGTCTATGGAGCAAAAAGTGCAGTGTGACCACAGCTTTAGTCCAACTATTTTTTATCTTAGATCAACCAAACCCTATTAAAGCACATTTATACTCCACACTCCCACCCACAAGTAATAAGTCCCTCCACTTGATATTTTTCAGTGACGAGTCTTACGTGATTGGCTTTGTGGTGCCCAATCAGAAGCAGCTCCTGGCTCTGGCGGAGAGGAAACGTGTCAGAGGTTTGTGGGAGGAGCTTTGCAACAACCCTGTCATCGAGGAGGCGGTGCTTACAGTCCTGACAGAAGCAGCACTGACAGGTGAAACACAATCTGACCAATCACACGCTATTTGTAGTATTTGTGCAGTATTGCATTGCTTTCAGTGGTACAAACGGTCAAACGGTACTTGTAATAATATACAGTTGAAGTCAGAATTATTAGCCCCCCTGAATTAATAGCCCCCATGTATATTTATTTCCCCAATTTCTAACCATAATAGTTTTAATAACTCATTTCTTAAGAACTGATTTCTTTTATTTTTGCCATGATGACGGCACAAAATATTTTACTAGATATTTTAGGACACTAGTATTGAGATTAATGTGACATTTAAATGCTTAAAAGTTAGTGTATAATTGTGGTTTATTCTATAGACAATGGAAAACAAATATTGCTTAAGGGGGCTAATATTACTGACCTTAAAATTGTTAAAAAAAATTTTAAAAATGTTTTTATTCTAGCCTAAATAAAACAAATAAGACATTCTCCAGAAGAAAAAATATTATAGGAAATACAGTGAAAAATTCCTAAATCTGTTTAACATCATTTGGGAAATATTTGACAAAGAAAATTCAGAGGAGGGCGAATAATTCTGACTTCAGCTGTACATCAGGGCTTCCCAAATTGAGGACGTCATCTAAGATTTGTGCATTGGTAAACTGTGATTATTACGCAATTATATCAAATGTCAAAATAAAATAATAAAAGGAGCTTAACATTAATAGTTGAATATATAAACAAAAGGCTACAAAAAATAGGTTAAATTAAAAACACAAAGTTTTTAGTCAAAATACCAAAAACCAAATAAAAGCTGTAGTATTTAAGTGACTAATTTGAAATAAATATCTGCAGAGTTGTTGATAAAAAATAATATTTAATAATATATATAAGTACAATGGTAATTTAAAACATTTCTGTCTAATTTATGTCTTCACTTAATATAGGTTAAGATGCTAAGTCCAGATTTTAAATCAAAATAAAACATGCACTTACTAATTAAATATGTATTTCACTTGCATGTCAGGAACCATTAAAGGGGCAGTTCACTCAAAAATGTAAAATCTGGAATTATTTACTCAGGCGGCACGGTGGTTCAGGGGTTAGCACTGCTGCCTCACAGCAAGAAGGTCACTGGTTCGAGTCTCGGCTGGGTCAATTGGCATTTCTGTGTGAAGTTTGCATGTTCTCCCTGTTGTGGCGTGAGTTTCGTCTGGGTGCTTCGTTTTCCCCCACAGTCCAAACACATGCGCTATTCAGCTTATTCTGTGGGTATGAGTGGCCGCAGCCATTGAAATCTTTTTGGCTCGAGACTTCCGGTCTCATTCACTTCCATTCATTTTTAGACGTTAAAAACAGCTAGTATATTATTCTACTTTGTCTGTAAAATCATGAAAACACTTGCGTGTAGTTTTAACGGTTTTCTGCCGTTTATTATCCCTAGTCTTTTCTCCCATAGACAGCTGAGTCGGAAGTTTTAAAACAATCGCAAAAAACGAGCGCACTTCCGCGTCGAAGAATAAGATCAATAGGTGAAATGGGTAAACTAAATTGGCCCGTGTGTGTGTGTGAATGTGAAAATTTAAGGGTGTTTCCCAGTACAGGGTTGTGGCTGGAAGGGCATTCGCTGCATAAAACATATGCTGGACTTGTTGGTGGTTCATTCCACTGTGGTGACCCCTTATATATAAAGGACTAAGGTGAAGAAAAATGAATTAATGAACCATTTACTCATCCTTTACTTGTTTCAAACCTTTATGAGTTTCATTCTTCTGTTAAAGAAGATATTTTAAAGAATGCTGAAAACCATTGACGTCCATAGTATCAGTTTTTCCAATGTAAGTCAATGGTTACAGGCTTTCAGCATTCTTCAAAATATGTTCTTTGGTGTTCAACAGAAGAAAGGAACTCATAAAGGTTTGTAACCTCTTAAGGATGAATAAATAGTGAGTAATTTTACATTTTTGGGTGAACTATCCCTTTAATTGTGTATATAGAAGTGTTTCATTAAATTCTATAAACATGACCAATGTCACAGCATGCTGATAAAGTTTTAGGAGCTCCAGCTATTTGTTGTTCTTCCTGTTTCACCACTGTATATAACCATCTGTGATTATGATTCATTTCCTGCTGCTGTGTGTATTTAACAGCCCAGCTAGAAAGATTCGAGATTCCCCGGAAGATCCGCTTGAGCGTTGAGCCCTGGACCCCAGACACCGGCCTGGTTACAGACTCTTTCAAACTCAAGAGAAAGGAGCTAAAAACTCACTACCAGAACGACATCGAGAGGATGTACGGAGCCAAGTAAGAGGCAAATCACGGGACAGGAAGGCAAGAAAAAGTAACTGATCTCATTACAGCAACATCCAATCAGGATGGAGATTTCCAGTGGACGCTGCAGACCTGAACACTGATCATTTGGAGATGTTTACACACAACTGAGTGGTGTTTTTGTGTGATATCAGAAAATGGTACTAAAACACTAAAGCAGTACTTAAAGGAATAGTTCACCCCAAAATGACTCTCATTTAAGGCATCTGTAAACAGTTGAAGTCAAAATTATTAGCCCTCCAGTCAATTCTTTTTCAAATATTTCTCAAATAATAATTAACAGATTTAGGAATTTTTCACAGTATTTCCGATAATATTTTTTCTTCTGGAAAAAGTCTTATTTGTTTTATTTTGTCTAGAATAAAACCAGTTTTAATGTTTGTTTAATTATTTTAAGGTCAATATTATTAGCCCCCTTAAGCTATATTTGTTTTCGATTGTCTACAGCAGGGTTTCTCAAACTTTTTAGCCCGAGGCCCCTAAAATAATAATGCCAGTGACTCGTGACTCCCAAATTCCTCAGAGGTGGTTATAAATATACAAACATCGTGCACACAACAATAGTCCTATATAAACGCAAGCATATTGACAACACAAAAACTGCAACAGTCCAACAACCATATGACTTGTGTAGTCATTTATTAATTTGTTTAATAACCTCAACTAATAAGACTGGACCCAATGTTTTCAGCACAAGTCTATTCTTGGTTTAATTTTGGAGACCGCCACTCAGCGATCATCTTCAATATTCAGTTGTTGCCTGTATTAAATTTTAATCTATTTGATGCCATAAAGGTGTCTAAGTTTAACCTGGTGTTATAAAATCAGTCTGCTGCTTTTCATTTGCATGTTGTTGTTGTTGTTGTTTTACTATTAAAAAAATACTATTTTTATCTTCTGTGGATTATGCCTAAAATATTGTAATTCTAATAGTTTATTAAAATTGATTTGACTTTTGGAAATCTGTCATTGTCCTGTGATCCCCACTTTGGGAACCACTGGTCTACAAAACAAACCACTGTTATACAATGACTTGCCTAATGAACCTAGTTGCACCTTTAAATGTCACTTTAAACTGAATATTAGTTTTCTTGAAAAATATCGTCAAATATTATGTGCTGTCATCATGACAAAGAAAAAAGAAATCAGTTCTTTTCGTTAAAAATAAATGTGGGGGAAAATTACGGGGGGCTAATAATTCTGACTTCAACTGTTTATAAGTTGTTTTACATTTTATCCTGGCTCTTCAATCCTGTATAGTGGTGTTGGGTTGTGGCCCTTTTTGATTTGAAGCTTTAAAAAGTGCATAAATCTAACCCATACGCCATCAGGGGGTTAACGCATGTCTTAAACAGTGTGCCGATGTGTTTTTTAACACAAATAATTTTGTATTTTAATTATAAACTCAAAATTTGACTGTTTTCATTAACGGGTGCCTATTATGCCCCTTGTTTACAAGCTGTATCTGATGTCCCTAGAGTGTGTAGCTAAGGGCGTACTCATCCGAACAATGCCCAGGCCCGTTTCCTGGATCGTTTGAGAAGTGTGAGTGCTCTGAATCGGGCTCAAGCACGGTTCAGTTGGCCGGGCCTGGCCCGGTTGGAAGAAGTGCGCTAGAGCGCAGTTCACTTGGGCTCAAGTGCGGTAAGCTTGTAGTGTGAGTGCAAAGTGCGCCTGAGCCCGAAACTGAAGACGAGACGTGACTTTTACAGGACTGTTTGATATGGATTTATTAATCATTCTTACTGTTCAATGAATGCAAACTGTCGTAGATTAAAGACGCAAACCTTTCACTGCGTGACTGTTGCACCTTCAGCAAACCTCCTAATTCCTGCAGCACAAGGACTTTATGATTGTTTATTAGCATCAAAAGTGCACTGAAAAAATTTATGTCTGCAATATTGTTGCAAATAATTTATATGGGTTGAATTTATTTATAATAAATTAAGTTTAGTAATGTTCAACTTAATCTGTTTGTTTAAATCCAACCCAAATAAATTGTTTACAGCCACTTAACGTAAAATAATTTAGTAAATCCAAGGAATCAACTTTGAATAATTTTTTTCAGTGTCTTTTTTCAGCGGATCTGTTTGGCGAAATATTTGACTGCGTGTCACTGCATATCAAGTGACTAAAATGATATAACTAAAGAAATCTCCACTGTGCTGAGCGAGAGCGCTTACTGAACAGCGCATCATCGATAACATAAGCGTGCCCAGGCCCGAATGTAATGTGAGTGCAGGCTGTCGGGGGAGACAGGAGGGAGGACAAGCGTGCTTCAGCTCGGTTGAAGGCAACTGTACATAATGTGAGTACATCCTAAAGTTTAAGCTTAAGGGTTGGTTTGGTGTGACGTTAGCGATCTTATAAGTAAACACAGGCGGGGTGTGGGGCAGGGTGGTGGGGGTATGGGTTGGTAGCGATCTAGTAAGTAAAGACCGGGAGGGGGTGGAGGGATATGGTGGATCTCTGGGCCCACTGCAACCCGTTACTGAGCCCTTTAATTACCCTGTGTACTGTACTCTCTCACCGGTTCCTCACAATAACTATGCCACTGGGTAAACATAAAAGGTAGATATTAATACTTTTTGTTTGGGTTGGGGAAAATATACTCCACATATAACGTTTTATTACTCTTTAAAACTGCCTCTTTTAGGCTTTGATCCAAATTGTGCCATTTAGATGACTGTGGGTTTAAATTCAAATGAGATCATTTAAAACATGACAGAAGAACCATATAATGACTAATAGTGAGTAAATATGGGCTATTTTTAATTTTGGAGGTGAACTATTCCTTTAAAGCTGGCAAAAGTGATGCATGCATGCTTTCCAAAACCCCAAATGAATAACTAATGAGAGGAAAAAAAATCAGTAAATGGCTGTCAACTCATACCTGCCAACACTCCCGTTTTTCCTGGGAGTCTCCCATATTTCAGACCCATCTCCCGCCACCCTCCCGTTTTGTTATTTCTCATGGAAAACTCCCGTAATATTAACCATACCAGCATTTTGGTACAGTCTGTGTAACCCCATGGTCACCAGCATTGGTATGGGATCCGATAGCAGCGGCTGCCCGAAACATGCTTCATAGCACAGTTACTAACACCAGAGTAACCGTTCTCAACAGTGTAATTCAGACACCTCACCCCGAGCCTAACCCCCATGGTCTTCTGGATTTTCAGGGACAAATGTTGGCAGGTATGGTCAACTTGCACATAAATTATGCATTTATTATCCTTTATGTTGGACCTTCAGGTAAACACCTCAGTCAATCCACATAACATCTAACCTAGTGGTTAGCGCACCAACATATGGTGCAATAGCACGTCAGGGCGTCACGAGTTCGAATCCCAGCTCGATGACATTTCCCTACCCTACCCCTCTCTCTCTCTCTCTCCCACTTCGCTTCCTGTCTCAATACTGTCCTATATAATAAAGGCCAAAAATAAATCTTTAAAAAAAAAAACTGTGAGATTTTGTTTTAAATACGTCCTATAATGAAATAAAATGTAATTATTTCTGAATGACAAAAATCAGTGATTGCAAACATCCCTGGCATGTGATTATTATTTTTTTTCCCCCCTCAGGAATTTTTTTTCTGCATGTTATTCCCATCATTACATCATTTTCATCAGCTTTAAAACTAAGGTTTAGTTTTAAATACTTCCTATATTGCCTTAAAATGCCAAACTCTAGCAAAGTCTTCCTCTGTGTCACAATCAAGTGTCCCAATTCTTGTTCTGCCCTGTACACAAACAGTGCATTATGGGATGTTTTCCTAGGCTTAAGTTCTCTTTCAAATCAATATATAACCGGCGGCTCTCCTAATGAGACTCTTCCAGTGTTTACATGAGTCCAAACACATCTGGAATCATCTTAAAGCCATTATTTGATTCTTTTAAAGGGATAGTTCACCCAAAAATGAATGTGTCTGATTAACACAAAAGAAGATCCTTTGAAAAATGCTGGAAAACTAGTAATCATTGACTTTTCCTACTATAGAAGTCAATGGTTACATGTTTTCAGCTTTCTTCAAACTATCTTCTTTTATGTTTAACAGAAAAAAACGCTTAATGGAAGAGTAATTAGTGAGTAAATTTTAATTTGTGTGTGAACTATCTCTTTAATCTTACCTACTTTCCCTAGTGTAATGCTGTCAGACGGTGTGAATATTAACCAACAATCTGAAAAATCAGATGTCTTTAAGCTTATATTAAATTATTGTTACAAGGGTTCGCTTAATTTAATGATGAGAACGTGCTTCAACCGTTGGATGATTTGGATTTGTGTGCCGGGACTGGAATGTTCCTGTTGTGTGACTGTAAATCCTGCTGGACAGGATCATACATCTAGAATAAGTCTCCTAATATAAACTCTTCAACCAGGTCCAATAAACATTTTGATTCATTTCAGGGAGGTTTTCCACTATTTGTCTATAAAGACACGCTGACGTCTGCTCAGATCGTTTTGAGAGCCGGTTTACACATGTAGGAGTAAAGAGAACAGATAAAAATGGAGCACCTAAACTCTTATAACATTTACATTTATCATTTAACTACACCATTTTGAGAGGAAAACTCTAGTTTCTCTATTGTTGACTATTCTACATCAGCCTAAATAAATTGAAAAACGTTTTAACCTAAAACCTGGCTGTGGTATTTTATATAGTGATCAGTCACTTGACTTTACTTAAAGGGGTGTTAATAAAACTGTCATGATACCTTTATGATTACAACAACTCAAGGTCATTCTAAAAACATACCGCTATATACATTTCTGGAGAGCGCCAAATATGTCACAGGAGGTACGTTTTTTTTTTTTTTGCGAATCCACTAGAGGCTGCTCTGTACGCTTTTTCAGATCTCATATTTCTTTTGCGAGTGCAATTTTCTCCTGCTCTTCTTGCGTATACCCACCAGAAGCTACTAACGACTGACTGACCAATCGAATGACTCACCCTCCTCCTCCTTTAAACCCAACCAATAGTGTTTTCAAAAGCACCGATTGACCCGCCCACCCACTTCACTAAACCCAACCAAAAAGAAAAGCCCTTTCTGATTTTTACCACGTTTTTTAGATTTTACCACATTTTCACCCTGTTATTTGTTAATTTTTTGGCTTTTATTGTCTTCCTTGCTTTCTGGGACAGTTCTTCGCTGGACTCGAACCCTGTCGTCGTGGTCAAAGTCCACCAATATACATGGTGAGCTACTGAGCAAACTGGTAACAGCGAGAAAGCAGTCCATATGGAGGTAA